TTCATTTTTCCTTGTCAGTGGCCAGTGGCTGCAGGCCTGGAGAGATGGGCTGGAATCTCTGGACTAGGAGGTGCCACGGGGTCTGTTCACATTGGTCCTCAGCTCTGATGGTCTTGCCTGAGTCTAAGCCTTCCCCCGGAGAACTCAGAGCTGCCCTCATTTGCTGGAGAGAAGCAGAGTGGACACTGAGGCCTCTCCTTGCCAGTCCCTGCCCCTCACCAGCAAGGCCCATCAAGATGAATACCTAGGTAGATGGTATCTGAAAGAAAGGAAAGTGCCTCAGGATGCCAAAGACAGCAACCTCCCCTTCTAGGGGGTGATCTCGCTGAACTAGTGAGGTGTGAGCCAATGACTTCCTGACTCTGAGCCTCAATTTCTCATTATGGAAAGTCTAGACAGGTTCTACGAGTATGCACAATGTTCCTCCCAACTGGCTGATGCAGTTCCCTTACTGGCCAGGACCCCTGGGAGCAGAGTTCAAGCCCAAGAGAAAAAGATCTTGGTCAAGCCAGCAGGATCTGCTCAACATCTTGGGATGCAGGGATAATGAGAGAAACTGAGTCATGGACCAGCATTCTGGGAACTCAACCAGCTCCTAGAAAATTGGGCTCCTTCCCATCCTGGGCACAGATGGAGCTATTTCACTTCATTTTTGCAGCTTGGAAAAAACCTGGGAAGAAAAGGAGTGGTCTTGGGAATCGGGAATCCATTCCGGCAACAAGGCACTTAACACGGGCCCCACAGAACAATGAAGTGTTGCATCTCAGGGGTGTTCAAAAGCCAGCTTAAAATAGATGAACACTTTTCATCCTGTGTCCCAGGGCAGAGTTCCCCCAAACACACCTCAGAGGCTACAGAGCCCACCCGGACTTCAAAGAGGCCTGGTTGACCAACTGACTCTGGTGCAGCCCCCAAAATTTCCAGCTCAGAACATGTCCCTTTGAGAAGAGCCACCATAGTATGAAGGGTCACATTAGCTGTCATTTCGGCCATCCAGACTCAGCACACTAGCTGTCTGATGGAGTCTCCTCATTGCATGATGCTGACTGTGTCACTACAAGAACTTAATGGGACTAAGACAGACTGCCTGACAGAACAGAGAGGATGTTTTCAACAGCTGTTCATTTCCCCCCCTTTCCCATAGGGCTTAACTTGTCAAAAGTGAAAGAGCCAGGTGCTCAGAGAGGCCAGAGGACATGGGGTCATAGGGGGCTAAAGTGCCAGGATGAACCCCAGGAAGGGGCTCTGCTAGGGAGGGGTCTGAGGAGGAGAGAGGAACAGTACAAATGACTTTTACACTATGGATATAATCTGGACTAACAACTTTTTATCTAACCTTACAACCAAAATGTTTAAGTGTAAACAAGCTCACTGAACCATTTGCTCACTGAACCCAGAACCTGGGTATATGACCTTGATCCCTCAGGATTCTACTTTGTCCTCCACCCAAAATAGTGGAAAATAGAGTATGAATGAATTTATGTGTATATGCTTGTATGAATGATTTACATATCAGGGCTCTGGAAGCAGTGTGTTTTCTCATTGCAACAATGAGAAAAACAGAATCTGTTTGAAGTTGTGTGTGTGCTATTCTTGGCCTAGGAATCAAAGGGTAAGATTCTCCAATAAAATATAGATGGGTCCTGACTTTGACTTCCCCATTTCATGCTAGAGATACTGTTTCAATAAAGAATGAGCAAAGCCTGGCTCAGGAGCGCAGTTCCCAGGTACATCTGAAAGAACCGGTGCTCAGCAGTTCGGGTCTGTTCCTGGCCTTTGAATGGATGCTAAGAGTCAAGCTTTCTCTTTAAGCCTCACTGTTAATGTGGCCTAGTAACACTGCAAGGAACAGAAACAACAAAGGACAAACCCAGAAAGCCTACATGGGAGAAGGAAAGAAAACCGCCCCCATAGAGACCAAAAACAGCAGGCCAGTAGGTCTGCCACAGATGTGTCATTTAGAACCAAAGACTTTGGAGGCAACATTTTGGGGGGCTCTTTTTGAGACAGGGTCTCCCTGTAGCCCCAGCTATCCTGGAACTCACTATGTAGACCAGGCTGGCCTTGAATTCACAGAGATCTGCAGGGATTAAAGGCGTGCGCCACCACAGAGGCAACATTTTAAAGATGGACAAGTAATTTTATTCCCCAAAATTCATGTCATATGTTGAAATCTTCATACTGTATATCTGTGTAGATATATATTGAAATCTTAATCCCCCAGCTAAGAGGTAGGGCCTCTAGAAGGAATGGAGACATGAATAGAGCCCCCTACCCATGGGATTAGTGACCTTTTGAAGGAGGCCTGAGAAACAGCTTACTTTCTCTTTTTCTGCTGCGTCTGAAACCCAGAGCCAGGTCTCACTATAGGCCTCGGCTGCTGGTGTTCTGACTTCCCAGCCTCTAGGACTGTGAGAACAAATACCTCCTGTTCACACATCGCTGTCTATTATGCCTTTTTATAGTAGCTGGAAAGGAGTAAAGCAGGAATATATTTCTTTAGTGTATATTTCCAGCTTCTATAGGAAATTCGGAAATTCTAACATAGTGTCTATTCTCCTACTTGCTGAAATCAGCTGACTTGAGCCATCATTGGCCCTTGGTGGGCAAAGCCTCTCAGTCCCTCCAACCCCATCCCCACCTCTACCCAGTTAAATCTGCGGGTCCCCTCAGTATCATTCCTATCATCACTGTCTCCAGTAGTAGAGTATGCCTTAAACTTATGCTTCTCTCAAAGTAGGACTATGACAAATGAAGCAAGAGGGCCCTATGTTTCTAGAAAAATAAGCAAGAGCTCACTTATACCTGGGGAGGCAGTACGAACACAGCTCACTTTTCTCACATTTTCCTGGCTCTGGAAGTGTCCCAGCAAGCTGCGACTCTCAACAGACCTCATTGCCCCAACTCTCCTGCTACCTGATCCATGACTTGTCAGAACTATGTTTCACTCTAGGTTGCCCAAAGCTGGTCCTCGCAGTGCATAGAGTTGTGCCATGTCTGTCGGGTACTGTGATTCCTGCCACCTTTGCAGAACCCTGCATATCCCAGACCCCCAACAAGACAGGACCAGGGCAACCTCTAGGGGTACACAGCCCAGAGAGAAGGGATTCAATAAGGGGCAGAACAAAGCGGCGGGGAGAAAAGAGGGAATGGGTAGGTGTGCATAACTAGCTGGCCCAGTTCAGCAGCAGCTCTGCCACCAGCCTTGGCCTCTGCCTTGGAGCAACACCAAGCTGGATGTTCCCCTAAGACATGAGGTATAAAAACCCCAGTTCTGATTCCTGCTCACCCACTGCTCTTAGCCTCTCCTGTCCTCCCTGCCTGCTCACCCACTGCTCTTAGCCTCTCCTGTCCTCCCTGCCCTGACATTTGGCTCTTGCCACCTCCCCAGCCGCTGCAGGGATCCACTGCAGGGCCTCAGCTCCACTTGCCAGAGATACCCCAAGAGCTGTAAGAGGAGATATGGGAAAATCACACCTCCTTAATCACAGGCTGGAGTGGGGTGAATAAAGCATGCTTATTAGAGGTGGCTACTCAATGTTAGGCTCTCACCACAGCAGATAGCTCTTGATGGACAGATGGATGGATGTGACTTGCCCCTTGGATAATGCCCAAGCTCCTTCTGGGACCTTCAAATTGGCCAGGCAGCCTGCCTCTATATAGGTTGCACACCCCTTATCTGAAATGTCTGAGACCAGAAATACTTTTGATTTTGAATTTTTCTGATGGGCAATATTTGCATGTACATAATAAGATATCCTGGGGTTGGGACCTAAGTCTGAATACAAAGTTCATTTATGTTTTATACACATTTTACACACTCAACTCATTTTCTATAATACTTTTGATGCCTCTACATTTTTACTGTAACCTGTCACTTGAAGTCAGTGTGGAATTTTCTACTTGTATCACATCTACGTTCAAAAAGTTTCAGATTTTGAAGCACTTTAGATTTCTGAGTTTTGAATCAGAGATGATCAGCTCATGGTGCCTAAACAGTCTATTATGTCCTGTGAATTACCTGGAGGTTTCCCGATATGGTGTGGAAGGAGGCTCTGGGAAGGGTACAGAGCATCGACGCATCACCCACGCTGGTCCTTACATTGAGTTTGCCTTTCTCTTCTGCCTGTGGAACCCCAGGGACTCCATCACATCCTTTTGCCTCCACTTCTACAGTGAGGGGGGTGTCTGTGTGTTTATTTCTGATTCATCTGCTGTAGAGGGACACTGTTGAGGCCAGTGATACACAAGACCATAGCACAGAACAAACAGTAGACACCTTAGGAAGCTTCTCCCACTGCCTATCTCAGGGAAAAGCCTACAGCCCTTACCTTCACCCCTTCCCCCAAGACAAGCCCTAAGAAGAAAACTCGTACTTCTCCCCCACATCCACTCTAAGGCCCTTCCATGTTCCTGGGCAGCACAGCTGCCCTGCCTGATCACTGGATAAATAAGTCTGTAGCCTGGAATTGAAACATACTAGAGGAGCCCTTATATCCAAGGAAGGTGCCCCAGAAATTCCCCAAAGATCAGCCCTGCAAAGGCTCATCTCTCTGAGCCTGGGCAAACACCTCTAAGAGATTTCCTCTTTCTAACAGCACTAGCCTAGCCACTGACAAGAGCTAAGAAAGCTGATCCTACTATTCAGACCTCTAGCACCAGGGGTCTGAGGAAGGCAAATAAGCAAGCTACACAGATGAGCAGGTCCTCAAAAGCAGGGACAGCCGGTCCTCCTAAACCTCCGCACAAGCTGCAGGTTAGCACCTTAAACAGTGACAGGGAGAGAGAGGAAGCCATGAAGCCGGACTTTTGAAACAACCACCTCTAGAAAAAGCCCCTGAGTTGGAGGGAGGGAACTGGTGCTTAAAGAAGACAGCAAGTTCAGACACGCAAGGTGACTGACTGACAGAAGCTGAAGGCCGCCCAGCAGAGACAGCAGGGCATTCAGACAGTCTTCACTCTTCCCCACCCTCTGCACCAACCAACCCTGCGAATCTCACCTTTCAGAGAAGCCACATGTGACAGGGCCTGGGCATAGGTGGCTGTGTTCAGAAGAGTCCCTGGCAAGCAGGAAGGGAAGAAAGGCCCAGCAGGACCTACCGTTCGCCCCAGGCTGGTAAAAACAGAACATACCATTGAGTTCCAGCTTGTGTCTGCTAAGCGGCCCCAGACCCCTAAGCCTAGGACCATCTGGCTTTACCTCTGCTGGGGTTCCAGCACCTCCTTCTTGCTCCGGGTCTGGTCCCCTGGGGGTGGGGAATTGATGTTCCTCACCGGCGGTGATGTCACCTCTGCCATGGGCTCCTTAGCCCCTGGCTCCTGGTCAGAGGCTCCTCTCTCTGTCTTCCTCCATTTGGCTCTTCGGTTCTGGAACCAAACCTGAATACCACAGGGAAACACACACCCAAGGGAAGCAGAAAGTCAGACAAGAGAACCAGCCAAGACCCAAGCATGAACTCCAAGAGGCCCAAGCCAGCACCTGAGCCAGTCCTCTGAGTCAAAGTTTCAGACCCCCAGATGGATCATCTTAGCTGCTTATAACAGGCACTTTTCAATGACTGATGAAGAATAGGGAAAACCAACTGTGCTGCCCATAAGAAAGGAAAACGTCTTGTAGAAGTTCACTGAGCTGCCCATGAAGGCACTTATTTGATGTGGAAAGTTTTCCCTACCAGGAACATTAGTGAAAGCATCTTGCAAAACACAACCCCAGGGCTTCTCACCAAAAAGACACACTCCGTCTTCCAGCAGGCTCACACCTGTGATCTACCCCAATCATCTGTGTACACACACAACAAGCTCACGACCAGCCACCTAAGGCACCTAGGAGAAACTCTCAAACTAGTACTAGCCAGCCATAGCTTAAAAATTCTGAAACTTGATGAACAAATGTGGTTTTTGAATGCACAGCAAGCAGTCCAGATGATCACCTTACACAGGCAGGGAGGTTCATTAAGTTACCAGAGCTCATCCAAGTAGTAAGTGAAAGATCCACAACGTAAAGCCCAGTGGTTGGGCTCAGGATCGTGCTCCATACTACTGGGGGACAAGAGAGTAATGCCATTGCCCTAAGCATTGTTAGAAAGATTGACATGCACTCAAACCATGGGCACAGTGCCTGGCACAGGGCAGTTGGTTACTCAGTGAACATTGATTATTGTTCCATCTACTTCATCATCAGATCAGGAGGAGGCTTGTACCTGACCTTGACCTTGGTACCTTCTTAGGAGCTGGTGTTAGTTTTACTGTTGTTGTAGTTAAGTCTTGAGAGCAAAACCTGTGTTTGCCTAGTGGAATCCTGGCAGTCCTAGCACAAGGTGTTTCCAGAGGGCAGCAAAAGCCCAGTGTGCTTCATTTCATCTAGGAAAACCTTTGCTCTCTTCCACTCTCCTCTCCTGAGAGATAATTCCTGGCTAAAAACCAGGCTTGGCTAGGCTTCCCTCCAATTCCCAGTGACCACCTCCCACCTCCCTTGGCCACAGGCACACTAGTCAAGGAGAGAGCCTGGGTCCTTGAGGCTGAGCCCTCTGCCAACCCACCCTATCTCTTCATTTTCATTCTCCTTTAACTAGGTTTCTTTCTTTCTTTTTTAATCGAGTTGGCTTTTAATTGTACATATCAGCAACCATTGAATAATGATTTTATCTATATTCTAAATTTAGGGCAGTTAAATGCAAAGCAAAATGCAGACACTTTCTTGTGTCTTAATTGAATGAAGGTCACAGCTATAACAACATTTAATTGAGCTATTTTTCATTATCATATTTTAATGACTTTGCACTGACAGTTCGCCTGCTTCTGAGGAAAGCGCATGATGGAGTCGTTTATTTCCCTATTTAGTTATTGTTTGACAACATCAGCTTCGATTAAGACCCTGCTTTATAGAACATTAATCATATTTGAATGAGCAAGGGGTATAAGTGTAAACACATCTCCCTTCCCGCCACTGGGGCTCCTGTCCCCACTTGGAAGCTGGCTAAACACACGTTCCACAGCCATTGTCTGTCTGCATAATAGGCGACAACAGCCTGGACAACAATTCTAGGCTTTAATTGTTGCCGCCCCTATCTTACCCTTGCACCTTTCAGGGAGAAGTTATGTTCTTCTACTTCTGAATGCTCAATAATTGTGTCATTTATCTCAATTTGCAGTTCAGTCTTTAGGCAGCTATTGGCAAGCTGGCATTAAAAACAGAAACTATAGACGGTATCCGGGCCAAAGAAGATTTTCATTTCCAAATAATAATCAGTTTAATTTGCCCGCATATGACCAATGATTCATGTTCAGATTTAATAATCAGGATCACATAATCTGATTATAGGGGAAATAATTTGTTTACAACTCCCAATTTACTGCTCAGAATTCCATTATCTCTCTTCAGCCATTGGTTTTTAAGAGATACTAACATGACCCAGGGGAACAGAAAGCAAACTATTATATTTCCTACAATTAGATCTTTGCATAGTCTTAACCCCAAGCCCCTACATAAAAAAGAACAGAAACAGCATGGAGGAAACCCCATAAATAAAATGAATATATAATTGTGCTCAAAGAATAGCTCGCCTGGAGAGTCGGCACTGTGAGCCTGCGCCTCTCGCGCTCCGGCACATCTGCTGGGCTCGGCGGGTTTGTGCACTTAAACATAATCACCAAGAGGCTTCGAGAAAGCAATCCTGCTTAGTGGTAGCCATGCAAGCAGACCCATCTCTGCTCAGCCGCTTTGTTGCTGCCGGTTAAAGATTTTTAAATTGCACGTGTTCTTTAGGTTCCCTGTACTGAAAGAGTCCATGTGCAGAGGAAAAGTTGGACATGATGCAATTTCTGGAAAGCAGATCCTGCCCTGCTTCCCATCTGAAAATGCCGTTCTCTGCAATTGACCGGCCTCACCCCAGAGCGGTCAGATTTGCTTTGAGAATAGCATCTCAGCTTTTTTTTTTTCAAAGCAAGGAAATGGATGTGCATTGATGTAATTTAGTACCTTAGAGACGCGGACAAATTAGTGTAGAACATTATCACTAGTTAATTATGAATGACCGATTAATCAACCTAATCTAATATTCCACATTATGTTGATGTTATTAAAGTGCATCATGAAAATGACAGACAGTCTTCATTTGCTTTCTTTGGCCAAATGTGCACTCTGCAGTCATGATGTCAAAAAAAAAGTTTGCCAGTTTTAATATTAGAGAGTTAAATAATTAAAAAGAAGGTTTACCTGCACTCTGGCTTCTGTGAGGTTTATTTTCATGGCTAGCTCTTCTCTGGTGAAGACATCAGGGTAGTGTGTTTGGGCAAAGACGGCCTCGAGAGCTTCCAGCTGGTAAGAGAAAAAAAACATTTACTGGTGAGAGCTGTGTCTAGGTGAAGGGAAATAGATGTGTATTTCAAAACTGCTAGGAGGGGTGAGGTAGCAGTTTCACAGATCAAATCAAGGAAGGAAATGGAGAAAAGGGCTCTTTGTACAGATTCCTCAGGAGCCAGGCCAGCAAAATGGCACAGCTGGTAAAGGTGATTGCCCCCAAACCAGACAACTTGAGTTTAGTCCCTGGTGCACACATGGTGGAAACCCAAACAGATGCCTGCAAGTTGTCCTCTGTTCTCTACATGTACAAAGTGGCATACACACACACACACACACACACACACACACCTAAATATAATATAATTATTAAAAAGAAAGATAAAGATTCCACAAAATGTGACTTTATTTTTTATTTTATTATTTCTATTTTATGTGTATGAGTGTATTATTGCCTGCTTGTGTGTAACTGTACCCATACAGTTGCAATGTCCGAAGAGGTCAAAAGAGGGCATCAGATCCCCTAGACTGTAGATCCCCTAGGATTTACAGACAGTTGTTAGCTGCCATGTGGGTGCTGGGAATTGAACCTGGGTCCTCTGCAAGAGCAATCAGTGTTCCTAACCACTGAGTCACCTCTCCAGTTCCCAGAATGACCATTTAAATCCCAGATGATTTAGGAGTTAAGATTTATGAAAACCTCAGTGTTCCCAAAGAAATAAAAATAAGACAAGCAAAAATGTTTCTATGAATTATATTTCAATTTTATCATAGGAATTAAAAAATCTCATGGACAGTAGAATAATTTCCACAGCTTCCACCATAGGCGGAGAGAAGGGTGCCTACCCATGGAAGCCTTCACCAAGCTACCCCTATAGAAACTTTATAGGAGTATGGTGGTCACCTTCCCAGCTATTCTAGTTGCTCAGAAAAGAGACTGTTCTCAGGGGAACAATGAGCTCTGGGAAACACAGTAGAAAAGCTCTGGTTGTAACCCGTCTATTTCCAGTCAACAATGCTATCTGCAAATGAGTCAACCTTGTGGGTCACCATGTTCCCATCTGTCTATTTGGGGATAAGAATTCCTGACTGCTGACATGGCAATATGCCTCAGACCCTCAACTGAAGATACATGGCAAAATTCATAGCTGCTTCTTTATCTGACTACCTGAGATTACAAGGCCAAAGTCAACTTATCTTTTCCCAAGGCAGACTCCTAAGTTGTTCAAGAAAACATAGAGATCTAGTTAATGCAGCAGTTGGCTTCATTTTGTAAGGCAAGGAAACATTGCTCATCTCTGACTTTGGGAGAGGCTGGAAAAAGCTGGTTCTCAGAAAGAGATCTATTTTACCTGCTGAAGAGTGAAGGTCGTCCGGTTCCTGCGCTGTTTTCTACGAAGAAACCCATCATCAAAATCCCCAGTAGAGTGGTTGCCAAAGGGTGCAGTGCCTGCTGGGAGCAAACTAGATCAGCCTGAGCAGAGGGGTCTGGGTCTTCTGACCCTCACACACACACCCAGCAACCCCTTTGCATGTTCTGTCACAGAACGCAGACCTGCCCCTCCACACAGAACCTGTCTTCCGTGGTGCTTCCCTCCATTTCTTTTAGTAAGATCCCCCTTCTCCATTATCTCCTACTCTGTCTCTCCATAAAACCTTTGACTTTTATACCAGCTGCCCCTATTGCATAGGGTAATGGTGACCCAAGATTATGGTGCTGTGAAACTTCACAGTCCTTGTGAAATTGTGATTTCTGACTGAGGAAGGGCCACTGGCTTGAGGCAGAGTCCTCCCATTCCTGGCTGCCCCTCTGTCCCCTGTCACCTGACCTCAACTCCTACCTTGGACCCTCCAAAAGAAGGCTCAGTATCTCCCTCCGCTCACCTGTTAGTTCACTCCCTTGTTTCTGTAGCCAGCAAGGGCAAAAGGTTGGGGATGAGGGAGGCTGGGGAAGAGACAAAGCACCCAGAGCTTTTCATACAATTTCCCTCTTAGAAGTGCAGAATTCAAGGAGGTAAGAAGTTTATAAATGATTATTAATTACTGTTGGTCACAGCTCATCAGCACCATGGGGGATCTGTTATGTAGCCATCAATTAACAAAAGGCCAGCACCAATAGAATGCAAAGCCAACCTGACAGGGCCACTCTCAAAGGGCATTGCACTAGCTAGCCAGGCTTTATACAATACCCACTGTCCCCTCTTCCCTAGAAAAGAAAGACATGGTCCTTGCCAGCAGCTTCCAGTGCTCACAATAAAGGCAGAACTGAGTCTGGCCCCAAACGTGCATTTGGATCATTTTCCAAATGTGCACTATTTACTTGATAGTCCACAATGGCTTCTTAGGAGAACAAATGTGCAAGTTTCCATTAACCAGTACACACTTTAACCTGCCATGGGCGCTGCTGTCAGAATCACTGCGTGCTCAGCATCAGCTCCCAGGCTACAGTGCCCAGATACTCCTCAAAAGGACCTCAGCCCTAAGAAGCCAAGTTCCCCAGGATTTTTTGCATCCTGTCTATGGCAGGGAGTTCCACTAGATATTATATTTTACCCTACAGGACCACATCTCTTATCCAAATGCTGCCCCTCTCCATCCATCCTCCTGTCCAAATTGTATTCTTCCTCCAAACCCTAGTTACAAATATTTCTCTCCAGCTCAAAGGAAACTAAAATGGAGTAGTCTCAAAAAAGTCCTATCCCTGTTACTTTACAAAGAGCCAAACTGTCTCCTTTTGAAGCAAAGAATTTAACCGGTCAGCATGAAACACAGTCTCAGTCTCTCCAGTCACAATCTTCCCTAGTCTTCTGACTTACCCTTAACTGTCCGCATTGCTTCCTAGCTCAATCCTTAAAAAGCAAACTTCATCAGACTAATGAGAAAAAAAAGAAAACACTGACAACCTAGAAGTAAAGAAGGAAAGGCTTCTTAAAAATAAATAAGATGGTTGACAATGTTATGCAAATGTAAAGCCTCACAGCTACTTAAACAGAATACAACAGAACAATGAAATAATAGTTTTGCTATTTGAGCCCAAAAAAATTGCATAATGATACCCAGTACAGATGAATTGTAATAAATTGTGCATGCTCATTTATCATTTATAGGAGTATCAATTGGTGAAACCTTATTAGAAGGCAATTTAACAGTAACTATCAAAAATTTAAGTGCGCAGGTTTTTAGTCTATGAATATACTTCTGAAGTATGCCAAGGCAGAGAGAAGAATGTTCCTGGAAACATTGCAATTGAAAAGTAAAACAAGACTCAGACAAAGCACCCATTAGTAGACAGTCTTTGCAAAACAAATAGTGGAATACTACACAGCTGTCTAAAAGAAATCAGTAGATCTGCCACATACACAGGCATGGATGAATCTCCAAGGTACCTTATGAAGGAAAATAACAAAGCCTAAAATGATGCGACATTATGGTCTCAGTGCAGACATAACATACACAGTGAAAGACAGAAGTGAAGGACTTGTAAGAAACACACAAAAGCAAGTGCTTTTATAGGAGAGGTGGAGGGGAATTTTGTGGACCTGTGTGCATGTTCCTGTTCTAGTACCTCTGGATCCACGTAATGTTTTCAAATTTAACATGAAGGGAAGCATCTGAGAAGTGAGAATCTGTGTCATACTTCGCTTTCCCTGTCTATCTCTCTAGATTGACAGGCTATAATAAAAAGTCATATCCCAAGGTCTCAGCTGGTCTCAGCTTTTCCATTTGCATTTCCACCCTGGTAACCCTAACCTAAACATAGATTCCCCTTCCTGGAAAACTGGCACAGAAATAAATCTACAAAGGGGCAGAAGGTTCTTGAAGCCCCCTCTCCTTTCCTTCTGGTCATATCAGTCAGAGTTGGTGTCAAGGTGGGGCATGCCCAGGGTGTGGGTAGTATATATGAGCCTACAGAGATGAGCCAAGAACAGCAAGCAAGTCGGAGAGCTTGGGTCAGGATGGTGTCTAAGACAATTCTGCAACCCACCCTTGCAAATGGGGCTTTCCCCTTAGGTCACCCAGAAAATCCATCCCTCTTCCTTCCCCACTTGAGGAAAGCCTGGGCTGGGGGTTGGCAATCAGTGCAGAGGAGAAAGTCAGCAGCCTGGAGAAGCTGTGCCCATCACACACAGGGAGGGACTCCATCCAGTCCTGGGGTATACAGTATCAGGGACTGCTCCTTTCTGACCTTGCCATAAAGCCTACCCTGCATGGGTCTGTTGGAGTAATGGTGAAAGCAGACAGGCCAGTGTGGCCTTCCTTTCAGGAATGTTGACAGAGCTCATTAGCCTCCTTTAGCAAATCCTGCTGGACTTTTATGAGCTTATTTTATAGGGAAAATGAAAACAAACTTTCCCAAATCCTGGCTGAGACTGACTGTTGTTCAAGGTAAGCTAGGACAAGGTGGACAAGTATCTTCTGGAACCTTGGGTGTTATGTCTCACCACCTTCTGTTCTGCCCGTCACTTCCCAGCATCTCTTGGTCCCCCAGAATTGTCCCAGGGCAAGAATAAATGGAAGGAGCATATTACTGAGGGACAGTCCTGGTGTTGCTGCCGGGGTCACAAAAGTCCCAGTGCCTCAGAGCTGCTGTACAAACCAGAGCGTGGGACAGTGTGACCACCTGCTGGCTACTAATCACCCCCAGGGAGAACTCACCCTTTTCCCCTCCAGGCCCTGGTTGGGAACCCCCAGAGATGCAAGCTATTCACTTCTCACTATCCCAGCCCCAACCAAACAGCTGAGAGCACAGACCACACCTGGAATCAGGAAAGAAATCTGTTCTAAAGTCTGAAGACCTTATCCCTGGGGAGTGGGGAGCCCTTGGGTATATGGGGTCCCAACCCCAGTGAGTCACTGAGAAGAAACTATGCCAGGGCTCTCTGGGCAGGTAACCAGCAGGGAACCTGGCTCCGGGAACAGCTCGACCTCTAGGAATAAGTTGTTCAGAATTGCAGGTGAGGTCCCGAAGAGCACTCTTGCTAACGCCCAAGTAACCCGGCCTTTTCAGGCTTACGGTGAAGCCCAGAACGCAGCGGGCAATTCAACTAGCTTTGGTTTTCCCGGATGTTAGCAAAACACCGTGAAAGATTGATGCGGCCCCCTGGGCAGAGGAGCCCCGATTAGAGGCGTGACACCAGCATCTGTGCTGGGAGGACCCGCCGTCCCTGGAGCACTCATAGCCCGGGGCAGCGCGACCCAGGCGGAGAGGGAGGTGGGAGGCAGGTGGCACCCGGGAGGAGGGATGGAGCTGGGTGTAGGGAGGGGGCTAAGGGCACCCCTGCGCACTGCCAAGCGGCTGCCCCTTCGCGGGGCGGGGACCCCAACACCCGCCAGCCCTGCTGCCGCCGGGGCCCTCTCCAGCTGACTTGGTCTCGCCTAGCAGCCCGGGACGCTGAGTTTACTCACCCTCTAGCTGTGGCGGGCAGTGGAAGTAAAACATCGCCGACGGTCGGGTCGGCCTGGTTGGCTAGACCTGGGCGGGTGTCGGCCTGACAAATTGGCTTGCGTAGCTCCGGCCTGGCTGCAAAGCAAACAGAGAATAGCCTGAGTCTCCGGCCCTGGGCGCCCCACCAGCCCCAAGGTGCACGGGGAGCTCCCCTCCTGGAAAGTCCCTTCCCCAAAGCCCTCGGCCCGCTGGGGACACCGGAGGGGAAGTGGCAGCATCTCCAGTCGCAAGCGAGGACCCCACTGTCAGCCCTTCGGGTGGGTCCGCCTCCTGAAAAACCGCTCTCACCCTGGCCCTAGCAGCCAGCCGGCACAGCCTGGCTCGGGGCTCTCAGGGGTCCAGACCACAAGCCCTGCACCTGGCCACCGCAGCCGGGTCCTGCTAGCGCGCAGGACCATCTGCAAGCGCGGCAGCTCGGGCCAGTAAGCCAGTGGAACCCCAAGGCCCAACGCAGGGATCCGGGGGAGAGGGTCGGGAACCCTGCCTACCTCCGCAGGCAGCCGGCGAGAAGGCCCGAGTGTGACCGCCTCCGGTCCGCACGCGGGGCTTGGCTGGCGGCGGGCGGGGCTCGGCGCTGCTGGCGCCCGCAGGACCAGAGAAGTGACTGGGGAAGTGGCCAGATGTCTTGCTGTCTGTCTACAGCGCGCGCCGCCGCTCAGCACTCGCCTTTATAATCTCACGCATAATTGGCCTTAATCTGATTATTTCCAGCGCTGTCTACAGCGAGTAACTTGGATAGGTCTATTGGGCCTTACAAATGGCCCACGTGGTGTAAAGGAAAAAAAAATCCGTCATTTCTCAGCAAACATCAGGAATCTTTTTCCCTCTTTTCTTTTAAAAGAAGATAGAAACAACCACCACCAATATCACCGCCCCCAAAGAAGAGATTTTGTTCTAACCACTCGCCCCAACCCCACCCATCCGTGTCCCCTTAGACTCAAACCTTTTTTCAAGTGAGATTGGATTTGGGCTCGCCCTTGTCAGAGGCCTGGCGACTCCCGGACTGCAAAATTGCCAGAGCTGCTAATTGTCGCCCGCCGGATGGGTTTTGGGGGAACTCTTTGCACACGGCTTCCCTTTCCAAGCGATCGTACAAAAGGAAAGTTTGATTTTGTTCTCAGCAAGGGGTCCCTGAATTTATGTTCGCTTCTCCGTGCAAATGATTTGCGGAGGGACCCTTTGCAATTACTTTTAAAATGCATCCGAGGCAAACACTCAGCGGAGAGAGACCGCCCTTCTCTCCGCCTGGGTGAAAATTAAACTCTCAAGTACCGGGCTGAAATTTTCAAGTCAGGGGCGCGGGATTGGATCAAATCACATAAACTGCAAAAAAAAAGCAAGTCTAATGGCGCATAATTGGTTCTGTAATAGCGTTACACTAGGATAATAGCCCGTTACGGCCCCCTGCACTATTAAGTGCTTCCCTGGCGGAAAGCCTTTATGATATTAAAGGGGGAATATAATGATATTTTGGTTATTAAATGCGTGTAATTAATTTATGCACCACTGAAAATAAAGTTGGTATTATGACCCACTCAAGATGCATCAGAAGATGCAAGTCAGACAACTGTTGATAAGTTCTGGTGTCTGTGTTCCGTCTAGACTGCCGATTTTATTTTGGGACGATGGCTTCTTGGACAGACTGCATAAATTGAATATTTTATAAACATTCTAATGCTGCGTTTGGGAGCCTTGGCTAAGCGGTGGGTCGGGTCCCTGCCCGGCCTGTGATCCAGACTTGATCTTAAAGACACAGCGCTTTGGAAACAAAAGGCCTGGCAGGCCCACTCGTGGACAACCGCCCAGGGCGAGTAGCGTGGAGCTGGAGTACTGAGTGCTGCGGGCCCTGGGACGCGCGTGGACACCTCTGGGAAAACATCCCGGAAGAAGACCGGGCACCGGGTCCGGTCTAGGCAAGTATGGGCCTCTTTCACAGAAGCGGTCCCTTTCAGGGCTCAGCCACCCCAGCTGATATCCTCCCTGCAGGGAGCAAGGAAGGACTGGAAGTAAGTTATGGATTTGCTGGAAACGGAGAGACCCCGTGGCGCCAGCTCTCGTCCAGGGCCACAGACTCCATCGAGTCCGGGCTGCGGGCCGGGAGCAGAACGTCCGTGGGTCTCCGGGGTGGTGGATGGAGGGGGCCTGCGGGGCAGTGGAGAGCTCGGCTTCCACTTCACCAGGGAGCCGAAGCCCCGGGAACCGACCCTTTCTCAGCCGCAGGCCGCGTGGCGGGAATCTTTTCGCTCCAGGTCCCTCTCAGAGCATCCGTGCATTCTGCAACCCTTTGCAGGAGCCTAGGCCGACCTTGGGCGCCCGCGGTCTGCCGAGAGCCCCCTCGGATTCCCTCCTGACCTCCGCTGCAGCTCCCGGCTTGCGCGCGGTGTGCTCCGGGAGTCGAGCTTCTGGGAAGCGAGGTGAGGAAGGGGTCCCGGCCAGCTCGGGTCCTGGTGCACCTGCGTTACCTGAAGGAACCGCGGCCCTAGCAGCTTAGCGCTGATCGCCGCGTCGGCCCCAGAAACCCGTGAGGTCCAGGCTTCAGTCGGTCCCCTGTCCTTGACATTGGGAAACGGAGAATCCTATGGAGACCGGAGATCCGGATCTGTCCCGGGATCCAGGAGGACTCCGGGGTTTTCCAGCTGCACTCCTGAGCATCCCGAATAATCAGAACCCTGGACAGCGGCGCTAGCTCTCTCTCCCTGCCACGGTGCTGGGACATGGGAAGGAAGCCGGCACCCCTGGGCCCCTGTGGGATTCTGCACTGCTGGGCCGCAAGCCCGCCAAGCTGAACCCCACGCCCTCACTGACCGATCTCAATCTTCTCCGGGTCCAAACCCGCTAAAGTTTACGATGCGCGCTCGGCACGCGGAGCAGGAAGCGAACTCCGGACTTCGCAATCTCAAACGCGGCCCCTGTCTCGGGGCTTCATCAGGGAAACAAACCACTGACCCCTTGCCGCCAGGCCCCGGCCCTCCCAGAGCCCCTTGACCCGAGCCTGGCCTTCTCCCCAGCTGGACAACCAGCCGAACTCTGGGAACACACCTATCTTGTGAGGGGCTGCCAGCTCGGGACCCTCGGCTTCGATTGTCCGGACGGGAAGTCCTCCTCCCAGAGCTACTAGGTTGAACTCCTTCGGAGCTGCAGAAACGAAAAGCTATAACAAACTTTGATGACGCGAACCCCCTTTCCCCCTCAATTGTCTCCAATACTGGGGCCCTGGAGAAGGTGACCAATAGATATTCGCTGTGGTCTCCCTCCCCCCTAAAGGAAGGAAACGGTTATTTTTCCTTAATTCTTGTGCAGTAAAATGTATTTTCCAATTAACCAAATTTGCCGATCTGTCCCGCTTGGACACTCTGATAATTTACCACCTAAAAGTGTACTTTCTTTATCTAAAGACCAAGGTGACTGCTTTTAATTTTCTCTAACCTCTTTACACTTGATGTTCACCAGACTCATAATGTTAATTGGCTTCATATACGGATCATCAGTTTAATGAAGAAATAAATCCTGTGTTGCTTTATGTTTTAACAGTGATTGCTTTAATGAGGAATGTGACGTGTTCCAAAATCAAAGCTGCAGGAGACATTAGAAGAGGCTTCTATTAGGACAAAAATGCTTATTTAAAGTTAAAACAGGGATTGTATTTCAACACGCTCCTCTAGGGAGTGGGGGCGCCCCCCCACTCCCACCTGGGTTTCTTTCCATCTTCTACAAGGAGACATTTCCGTTGTCCTGAGGCTCTTTCTCCCCGTATTTCATTCCATCAGTTCCAGAAACCGTATTGCCTGTAAAAATCATTTTCTGGTTATTACACAGGGCAGAGGGAAGCCAGAACAGAGTGGAGAGTCCAACTTTCAAGGCTGTTCACATTTTTATATAAAGGAGGAAGAAAGTAACACATGCACACACCAAGATTTGTGTGCAGAGGTGTTGCAGAGGCTGCTCCCCCAGTGTACACATCCCTAGTACTGAAAATTCAAGGCTGCCTTCTGAAAAGTAGACAGATCCAGCTTAGAGTGAGGAGGCTGCTGACCAGGGTTCTGGACCCTGCAAATGTCTGCAGGGGAAATGTTGGGCCTCCACCCAGGTAATGGGAGCTTTAACATCCCTCTATCAATTAATAGCAGAGTAAATCTGCTTTCTCTAATGTGTGTTTGATTTTTCTAATTTAAGCTGGTTCTATGAAGGGGAAACTGTCATCACAGAAACACTGAGACCAGCAATAACAGAATAGAAATGGGAACATCCTACATGCAAGCCCTCCATGGTTTGCAGTTGAACTATGAGTCATTTTAAATTGATTTTGGGAAAGAATCCTATATCCCTAGAAAATGGAGGGTTTTGAGACTCTGTGTTGAGCTCTCCCATACTTTACACAGTTATTTCTTACCATTTGCCCTGTTTAAGGAAATTCAGAAAAATAATTGGAAACTCTTCTGTGTGCACATTTTGAGGCCAAATTCATGAATATATATTGGACTTGATAACTCAATGGTGCTCAGAAAGAATTTCCCCCAACCTCCCTTAAAAAATTTTTTTCTTTAGCAAAAACAATTCCAGTAAACATGACTTAAATCCATAACAACGGGGTGGAGTGGATAAAATACTTCAATTAACAAGGAAATGGGGAAAAAAACACAGTGAATTCCTAACTACTTATTTTGAAGGCATCCAAGTGATGTGTACTGTTATTTGAATGTTAATTTTTTAAAAGGGGGGAATTTTCACTGTCATCCCAGTGAGCGTGCAGCTCTCCTGAGAGAGGTGAACTCAGGGTGCGCTCAGATGAAATTTAGAATGAGTGTGGCATGTTCTCTACCTATAGGGAAAGTTAGTGTCACTTTGTAGTTTTAGAACTTTCCAATAAAGCTTGGGTTGGCTATACATGATAGAATATACATTTTTTAAAAAAGCAGATAATTGAAATTCCAAATGGACAGTTAACTCATGAATATGTGTATGTATAGTTTATATGTATATATATATATATGTTATATATAAAACAGGAATGTATTATATGCATTTTATTATCTTGGAAATTCTCTATAATTTAGG